CTAAACACCCACCTCATTCCTGGAGCTTGCTGAAGAAATATGAGTTGCCCAGATGATCCCTTAGCTCAAGATTATTTTGAAGGGAGAAGTTTCTTGGTAAAGGGAGTTTTTTACTCAAGAAGAATTTTCAAGGTTTTCACTGAAACAAAGAACTAACAATTCACATTAGAAAGTAAAAATAAGTTATCAGCTCTATATGTAATGAACCAAGTCCATATCCCTGTGTCCCTGTGATGCCCTTAGAGTCCATAAAACATGATTCTGAACCCCTAAAGTCTAACTGAAGGTCAGGCATGTGCAGAAAAGTAGCCATGAAAGGGTTTGGGTATGGTCATGACCTCAATAGCAAAGAGTTCCTAATACATGTGTGCTCATGAATGAGATAATGAACGGACAAGGGCTACTGCAGGCCTGGGGATTTCAGAGGGCCTCATGGAGGGAGTGACACCTGAGAAACCCAGGGGCTAGGCAGCATTTAGGGCAGGGGAATAGCTTGTTGCCATCATGAGGAGGGAGGAGATACTGACAGGATGCGTAATGAATCTATCCTGGAGACCAGGATTGTATGAAGACTCCTCCAGTTGCAATAGATAAGGTGACTAGAGCCAGGCTGAAGCAGGACCTAAATATGTAAACATGGAATTTCACCCGAGCCCTTTACCCCATCATACATGGAAAGTCACAGGAAAGTCCTAGGCAGCATGTGGTTCACTGAAATCCAGGGGCATCCAGCTGCCATTCTTGCTCCTACCCAGAGCCTGCCATCTCTTACCTGAAAGATTGGGCCTCCACACTGGTTCAGAGTTCTAAAGCCTTTTGCTCAAGGTAAACTGCGGAGTATTTGGGATAAAGTAATCAGTTCTACCAGGACAGGCCATTGCTCCCTGGTAAGATTTTATTTTTTTAGTTTTTACAAGATTTATTTATTTGAGAGGCAGATTTACAACAGAGAGAGGGAGAAACAGAGAGGTCTTCCATCCACTGATTCACTCCCTGAATGGTTGCAACAGCCAGGGCTGGACAAATTGGAGCCAGCTTCATCTGGGTCTCCCACGTGAGTACAGGGGCCCAAGCACTTGGGCAATCTTCCACTGCTTTCCCAGGCCATCAGCAGGGAGTTGGATCAGAAGTGGAGCAGCCAGGACTTAAACCAGTGCCCATATGGAATGCTGGCACCACAGGTGGAGACTTAATCTACTATGCCACAAAGCTGGCCCCAAGATTTTATTTTTAAAAATATATTTTATTGATTTGAAAGGTAGACCTACAGAGAGAAGGAGATAGAAAGAGATCTTCCATCCACTGATTTACTCCCCAAATGGCCACGGCGGCCGAAGTCAGGAGCCAGGAACTCCATCCTGGTCTCCCATGTGGGTGGCAGGGGTTAATTACTCGGGCCATTTTCTGCTGCTTTCCCAGGTGCATTAGTAGGGAGGTGGATCAGAAATGGAGCAGCTGGGATAACAGTGCTCTGATGCCGGGTGCTAGTGTTACAGGCAGTGACTTCACCTGCTGTGCCACAAAATCAGTGCCCCAGTAAGATTTAAATTCTTTCCCTCTCCCAAAGCACCACCACCAGTGCGATTCTTCCTTGTTCTTGTGTGTTCAGTGGCAGTAGGCACTCATGCAATCAGTAAGCATTTAATGAGTAGTATGCTAAGCGCTGTTGTAGGCACTGGAATATAGTGTGGGATCGATTAGCAAGACTCCCACGCTCGTGTGCTCACAACCTAGTGGGAGTAGACAGACACACAGCAGTGGAGGAAATAAGAAGAAAATGATTTTAGATTGTGAAGTGGGTTTATGGTGATTGATGGCAGGGAAGGAAGAGGAAGCTTTTACAAAAAGGGCAGTTAACAAAGTCCTCCCCAGAGACAGGACACTTGATCTGACACTTCAGTGATGAAACAGTGTTGGCATTCAGAGTCTGGGGAATATCCTCCCAGACAGAACAGTAAATGCCAAGTTTCCAAGATGAGACAGGGTTTCACGTATCAAGGTATAAAAAGGCCAGTGTAGGTGGAATAGAGTAAGTGAACTTGTGAGTGGCATGAAATAAAATCAGAGGAGTGGAAAAGAATTAGATCATGTCAATCTATATAGTTCTTGGTGAGCAGTTTGTATTCTGTTCTGAGGGTGATGAGAAGCCATTCGGAGAGTTTAAATGGATAAGTGACAAAATCTGATTTATGACCTTTAGCAATCACTCTCATACACATGGAAGAATATTTATCATAGCATTGTGTATAGAAATAAAAGTCTGAAGAACAACTAATTATCCATCAGCAAGGACAAAGTAGATAATTTGTGGTGTACCCATGCAACGGAATACCAGCCTACAATGACAAATAATGGGACAGATGTTCATATCATGAGATGAGTTGTGGGGAAAAGGCAATGTGTCAAGCAGTGTGGCATGTTTGCTATCTTTGTGTTAAAAAATAATAAACTAGAACCCCAAAAGAGGAGATTTTGTGAAGAAATGGATTCTCTAATAGTCAGCTTCAGATAGGGCCTTACTGGTCCACCAGGGCTAGGTTGGGTGTCCGCCATCTGGCTAATGCTGCTGTCACTGGGCGGGGTGGGTGGGGGGTGTCTGTCTACTTTGCTGTTGTCATCGCCAGCAGTACCAGAGCTGCCTGACTGCAGTTGCATGTTCAGTAGGTTCTTTGGGGGAAGGGAAGCCTGTGGTGAGAACCTTGTCACTCACACCGCACATTTCCACAGCAAGGCAAGTGGGTCAGCAGTGAGCTCAAAGCCGAAGATGAAACTTCTTTCATGTCAGCAGAGATGGGGGTTGCCCGCCATTGACCATGGCAGAAGTCTGTCCCACCAGCTCGTACTTGCAAATCGCACTGGGGATGGGATGAACAACTGTCACCCTTTCAGAGAACAGGGACAGGGGACACAGTGGAAAGGGAGGCAGCCTCCCGCTGAGCACAAGGAAGCCTGGGCAAGGCGGACTCCTTCTCTGGCTGATTTCCTCCATGCAGTGGGAGCAGCAATTAGGGAAGATAGAGCTCAAGGCCAGAGTCCCCGTCTCCCCTTGGTGCACTGCTTTCCCCTGTCACCACCCTGCCTGGCACCCAGGAAGTACGATCCAGGAGTAGAATCTGCCTGGGGCGTAAAGCAGGTGAAGAGAGCTTTCCAGCAGCAGCCGTGAGCTCTGCCAGCCGCCTCCCCAGGTAGCGCATGGCCCCATGCTCACACACTCACACGCTCACACACTCACAATCCCCTTGGATCTCCTTTTGCCACAATGTTGTAGGGAGAGAAAGACTCCCTGTGGGACTCGTCTCAATGGATCAACAAGGCATCTTCTTTTTCTCTGCCTTCCTGTCTACCTGCCTCTTCCGCCCTGGAAGCTCCGGTCTGGAAGCCTTTGAGGACAGCTTCAATCAGTCCTATCTGCATTCTTTCCAGACCCAGTGAGGCTTGTTGAGTAGTTGAATCAGTTTCATGGTAGTAGCGAGAACCACCTCGGGAAGCAGCCAATCTGCAGACTTACAGATGGAGCTGTCCCTAGAGTGGAAAAGTGAAAAAAAAAAATTTATGGAGGCAAAATACAAGTTTGTTGATAAAATAACTCACCACTGCACAACAGAAGTGTTTAAAATTTTGTACTTTAATTGCTTCAGCTCTCACTGGTTTCCACTTCCCTAAAGATGTATGTCTGCAAAAAATAACAATTGCTTCCTAAAGCTGGCATGGCACTGTAACAGGACTGCCAAGATGTGCACCCTGCCCCAAGCCTTAACATCCACCTGCCACGGTGTAGGTGGCTGAGCTGCCCTCTCTGTGTCTCTCTGTGCTGTGAGCCCTTTGAGACCAGAGGCAGGATCTACACTTGTTGCTTTGGGCAGTGCCTAATCCTAGAGAAAGACCTGTTGGTGGGGCCAAGAGGACAAGGTAGGAACAGAGCATGTACACGCCTTCCTTGTGGGGCTGTCTTGTGCACACGTCATAAGCAGCAAGTGTCATTCCCATGACCTTCCAGACCACGGGGACTTCCCCTTGCAGGGTGCCCTTTGATTGAAGAGTCCTCAAGGGCTTTGAAGAGTGCAGAGTTGCCCAGCTAGGGCGTGGTGTCAACAACGTGCGGCTGTCACAGCAAATGCACACTGATTCCTGCTTGACAGCATTGCTGTGATGGACACACTTGTGAGGGCAGCCCAGGCAGCTACAACAGAAGCAGCTATGTGTGCAGTATGAGGCCAAGACTTGTCGGCTTTAGAGCACACCCTTCAGAAAGAGTGGTTTCCAATTCCTTCTATGATTGGTGAGCGGCACAGCCAAGGTCCCCCAAATCATTCAGCAATGCATTGGGCAACCACTGTCTTCCAATCACAATAGCAGACACTAGGGAAATGAAACCAAATGAGACCCAGTTCCTGCCCTCAGGTGCTCGTGGTGCAGGGCATAGGTCACATGTAAACAGTGACGACAGAGTGGGCAGGGCATGACCAGGCAGGTGCACAGTGCTACTGGAGCATGGAGGAGGACACGTAATACAGGACTAGCAGGCACTCAGGAAGGGCTTCCTGGAGGCTAATGGGCAGGAGCTAGGTGACTGTGGGTGTCAGGAAGACATAGGAGTCATCCTTCAGCTTTGCGAACTCCCAACAGTGATCTGCGTCAGAGACCTCCATGTGCATATGATGAGAGCTGTGCACCTTCTCCCCAGTAAAAAGTCCAAATGTAATTGAAGCACAGTTTCTCAGAATTCAGGAGGACTGCTGAAATCCTGTGCACAAATTCATGTTCAAGAACCCTGAATTAAGGGTTTTGCAAAGGGAGTTGTATCCTCTGGGCTGGAGGAACCCTCAGAGACCACCCAGCCCAGCCCTTCTTTTCAGCAACAAGGAGAAGAGATCCAGAGAGGGCGGGGAAGTTGTCCAGGGCCACACAGCCCAGTGGGCTCTGGGAGGAGGAGGGTGCAGAGGTCTGAAAGGGGAGGGAGGACAAGTTCAACCCCAGTCCTCACAGTGTCTCTCTCACAGGGCTGTTTCCTGGCTGGCACTTGAGCTATGTCGACGTGAAAGACAACTCTCGCGACGAGACCTTCCGCTTCCAGTGTGACTGCTGGCTCTCCAAGAGTGAGGGCGACAGGCAGACCGTCCGCGACTTTGCCTGTGCCAACAATGAGATCCGTGAAGAGCTGGAGGAGACCAGTACGGAGCACACTGGTGGGCCCGGCCTAGCAGGGGGTGAAGCCTGGGCTGGGACTTCAGAGTCTGGGGGAGGCGGGGCTGGTATTCAAAGAAGAAACCTGGGTGTAGCTGGAGGGAGACAGAGGCCCACGGAAGGAAGTAGTTGGGGTGCAGTGCCTATACAAGTACCCGAAGATTGCTTGGTGAACATGGAACTAAGATACTGGGGGCCCACATACAGCCCTGAGTCACAGTGATGAATTAGACAGCAGAGAAACCCACTGGGAACAAGCTGGCCCTGGTTTGAAGGCTGGGCTGGGCTGCGCAGTTTGGTGCGAAGTCCTCTCTGGTTTATTTTCTTATTTTTGTTTTTTTAAGATTGATTTATTTCTTTGAAAGAGCTACAGAGAGAGAAGAGAGAGAGAGAAAGAAAGAAATCTTAGAAAGAGGAGAGAGAGAGAGAGAGAGATTTTTCCATCCAATACTTCACTCCCCAAATGGCCACAATGGCCAGAGCTGGGCCATGCTGAAGCCAGGAGCCAGGAGCTTCTTCCAGGTCTCCCACATGAGTGCAGGGCCACAAGCACTTGGGTCATCTTCCACTGCTTCCCCAGGTGCATTGTCAGAGAGCTGGATCAGAAGAGGAACAGCCAGGACTTGAACTGTTGCCAGTATGGGGTGCTGGCAGCAAAGATGGCAGCTTGACCTGGTGCACCATGGTGCTGGCCCCTCTGGTTTATTTTTATCTCATGAGGCTTCATCCAGCTGATGCCTGTGACAGTGGTTGCTGAATCAACCTTCCTAGACAGAGCGTGCAGGAGAATCTGCTGTCTCCATCAGCCACCTTCCCTGTGTGCCTTCCGCAGGGGCTTGATCTCTAAGGAGGTTGCCCGTGAAGGGCACTGTGCCTTTAACACAGGTGCTAGTGCCTGGGCCCCACCAATGGGAAGAAAGCGTTCCAGAGGCTGAGTAATGAGGGGATCTTCCAACCTTAGTTATATTTCCTAAAGATTCCTTTATTTTGAAAGGCAGAGTGACAAGGAGAGACAGAAATGGTGGGGAGGGGGGACAGAGAGACAGGGGTTGCAGGTAGCGGCTTTACCTGCTGCGGTACAACGCCAGCCCCTAGGTTATACTCTGTCATATGGTGTGGTCAGTGCTTGCACCCAGGGCTGCAGAGTGAGTTCTGATGCCAGCAGGGTCTACCCAGCCCCAGCACTGGGCACCCTCTGAGCCAGTGTCAGATGAGTGAACGCCAGTGTGGCCATGCTGAGGGACCTGCGGGGTGGGAGGCTGCTGGGAGAGAGCGTGGCACAGAGTGAGCACGGGGACCAGACAGGAGGGGGACTGCTTGTTGGAGGAGGTCAAGGCCCTCGTGGGTCCTTGCCTGTGGGGCCTTGGCCTTCTGCTTTCTGTAGCTGGGCCCTGTCTTTCTGTCCTCTGTCCTGGGCCTCTGCTCTCTGCTTTGCATTGTGGAGACCCGTCCGTCCCTGAGAGCCAGGCCCCAGTGTCTCTCCGAGTCCTTATCCCCACCTCTTGCCCCATTCCTGGCGGCTCCCATGGTCTCCAGCTAAAGAAGTTGCTCTCAGAAATAAAACCGGGATGCGCCCTCCAGCCCCAGGGCCGAGGCACTTGTACTCAGAGCGCCTCCATGGCAGCACCTGCTGTCATCCCCAGGCCTTGGCCCAAGAACAAGCAAGGGCCCTGAGGCAGCAGTGGGCGGGGCCCCCGCTGGGGCGGCTGCTCCCCCTCTGCTGACCGTCTCCCCCCTCCTCCATTGCAGCCTATGAGATCGTCATAGAAACGGGCAACGGAGGCGAAACCAGGGAGAACGTGTGGCTCATCCTGGAGGGCAGGAAGAACCGGTCCAAAGAGTTCCTCGTGGAAAATTCTTCCAGGCAGCGGGCCTTCAGGAAGTAAGAAGAGGGGTGCATACAGGGAGTGGAGATTGGGGTGAAGTAGGTTAGAGGGGAACCCCAAGACTCTCCTCTCTTGGTTAGAGGCATAGGTATGCAAATGAGTCTAAGCAGCAAGTCCTTACTGAGCACCTACTGTGTACCAGCACTGTGTAAGCACCTGTAGATGTATGAAAGGGCAAGGGGGGAACCGTGGTGGGGCAGCACTGCACCCTGCAAACACCACCCTGTGTCTGTGTAGACAGGAGCTCATGCGCCCTTCCGACAGGGCCACCTTGAGCAACTCAGATGCCCGCTTTGTCCCCCACTGCCCCCCGAATCACTGGGGCGGTCTCGCCCGGCCTTTGGCTCCCCATGCCTTGTCTCCGTCCCCCTGGGCTGCCGTAACAGACGCCAGCATTCTCACTGCACTGAGGGCCGGAAGTCCCAGGTCAGTGCGCCAGCAGGTGCGGTGTCTGCTGAGGGCCCGCCAGCCTCCTGGCTCGCAGACACCCGTCTCCTTGCTGTGTCCTCATTCGGAAGGGGCGAGGGAGCTCTCTGGGCCCCTTTGCTCAGGGCACCAATCCCACCTGCCAAGACCCTGCCGGCAGATAGAAGGGATGCTGCATGTTGACGTCTTGAGAGATTAGGCACCACGTCTGGGGTCAACATTTGAATCAGAGAGGGACACAAAAGCTTGGTTTGTAGGAACCATTTTTTCAGACTCCCTCTCTATCAGGGCCAGAGCCTGGGCCCCTTAGCCTGCCATTTGCAGACCCCCCCACCATGGTCTGCCTGCACGCCCCCTCCCTCATTACCATCTCCTTCACTGAACCCACGCTGCACCCGAGCCAGCGTTGCCCCAGCAGTGTCTGCACCCCCACACCCTGCTGTCCCCTCTATGGCTGCAGGGACCCATTTCCTTCCCGGCTCCCTCCTCAGCCCGACACCCAGGGCCTCAGCCTCCTCCCAGCGCCGTGCTGCTTGATGATGAACCCATTGTTTGGTGCTCTAGCCAAGCCCTGGGAGGACTCAATGGTGTTACCCCAAAGCTAGACTGAAGCCCTCAGTGAGCCAGGACTGGTGTCAGCTCATGCTTGCCACCCTCTTCCTACTCCCTAGCCTGGAATGCTGACCTACTTTGGAGAGCGCAGGCAGCTCATTGGCCCTACCTTTGCTTCCTGCAGGGGGACCACAGACACGTTTGAATTTGACAGCATCTACTTGGGGGACATCGCCTCCCTCTGTGTGGGCCACCTCGCCAGGGAGGACCGGTTCATCCCCAAGCGAGAGCTGGTGTGGCATGTCAAGACCATCACCATCACCGAGATGGAGTATGGCAATGTGTATGTCCTGTGTCTCTCCCCCAGCAGGGGCCGGGAGCTGCGGCTGGACCATGGCGAGGGGGCAGGGTGCAAGGAGGTGATCTTTCCAAAGCCGAGGTCGCCTCATTCAGGAGGCTTGCAAGGCAGCAAGGAGGGAGCCAGCTTTCTGTTCTGCATCTACCTCCAGAGGCAGGGGGCTGGAGCAGATGACCTTGAGTTCATCCAGCCTTTGAACCCAGGAAAGATACGGAAAAGTTGAATGGGGCCAGGCAGCAGAGCCTCTCCTCGCCCTCCCCCAATTCCATCTGTGATGATGAAGGAGTGCAGCTTGTCACCTGCCACTGTGTGATTGTGGTGAGAGCCCCCGTCCTGTGGGCAGAGTGGGGACCAGAGACGAGAGAGCCATCCCCCCCTGAACACCCCAGAAGGCTCTCCCAGCATAGCCTTCTGCAGACCAGGGCATTTTTGGAAGATTAAGGATTTTAGTTACCTGGGCGACACAGTCACAGCCATCAGTTTGTCTAATTAAAGTCACTTGGAAACCACCGCCAGAAGCCAGGAAGAGTCCTGAGGCTCTGGAAGACAGGAAAAATGGAGAAGGAAGCAGGGAAGGGCAGGGAGGAAGCCAAGAGCAGCGCTTGTGCAGTGAGTGAGTGAAGGCTGAAGGTTCCGCCTTAGGAAGGCCAGCTTGTCACTGCTGGGAGGGGCATCCCACCCGGGCCTTGCCGGGCTCCTCCATGCCCCAGGGCCTTTGCTCCCTGCACAGAAGCAGGTGCAGGCCTGCTGCACCCCGCAGGGCCTCTGGGCTAGAAGCTGGGGCCCTCGGGAGCAGTACCTGTCCACGCTCTGCCTTGACCTGCACACTCGCTGGATTTGGTGTCCCTGTTCCAGGCTTTCCCTTTGGGAATTGGGCAGAGCAGGGTCTTGGCTCAGGCTGTCTTAGCAAAATGCCAGGGAAGGGTGGGGTGGGGTAACCAGGAGACATCCGTGTCTCACAGTTCTGGAGGCTGGAAGTCTGGGTTCTGATGAGATCTCTTGTCCCGGCTGCAGACGGCCACTTTCTCATCGTGTCCTTACCTGGCAAAGAGAGAGGGAGGGAGAGAGAGAGGGAGAGAGAGAGGCACCTCTGGTGCCTTTTCCTCCTTCTGTAAGGGCACTAATCCCATCAAGAGGGCCTCACCCTCCTGACTCCTCTAAACCTAATTACCTCCCAAAGCCTTGTCAGCACAGACCCTCACGTTGGCAGTCCGGGCTTCAACTTAGGAGTTTGGAAGGAGACACAATTCAGTCCGTAGCGACTTCTCTCTTGGGCTTCAGTGTTGTTTGTTCCTCTGTTAGAGACACCCAAGTCCAGCCCAGGCACAGTAAGTCCTGCAGGTGTTACTGGGCTTGGCTGCTAGGACTTGAGAGCCAGAAGATCAGCCTGGAGGAGTTAATGACTCACCCCGCCAGTCAGGGCCAGGGCAAAGCCCCTCCCACTGCCGGATCCCGCCTCCCACCCATGGGATGCAGTTGCTGATACTGCTGCTCCCCTAAGTAAGCAAAGTAAAATACAATGGTAATCACTCCTGTTACCTTTAAACCCGTAATGTCACCTGTGAGAGAGAGCAAGCTGCTGAGCCCAGCCACCTGGTCCTTCCAGTCTCAGGAGGAAGGAAAAGGGGAGGTCCGGCCCTGAGCCTCCCACCCCACCGTCCTGGGGCCATGGTGTGGGGTTTTGCACTCAGTGGAAACAAGCATTCGCCCCCAAGAACAGCAGAACAGCATCCTTCTCTGCATGTTCAAGAGTGTGGCCTGTTGTCTGCCCTGCAAGTCCAAGGTCAAGGCAGGTGCGGCGTCTGCTGAGGGCCCGCCAGCCTCCTGGCTCACAAACACCCGTCTCCTTGCTGTGTCCTCATTCGGAAGGGGCGAGGAAGCTCTCTGGGCCCCTTTGCTCAGGGCACTAATTCCACCTGCCAAGGCCCTGCGGGCAGATAGAAGTGATGCTGCATATTGACGTCTGGAGAGCGTGGGCACCACATCAGGGGTCAGGGGTCAACATTTGAATCAGAGGGGGGCACAAAAGCCCAGTTTGCAGGAACCCCCCCTTTTTTTTTTGACAGGCAGAGTTAGACAGTGAGAGAGAGAGAGAGAGAGAGGTCTTCCTTCCGTTGGTTAACCTCCCAAATGGATGCTACAGCCGGCGCACTGCGCCAATCTGAAGCCAGGAGCCAGGTGCTTCCTCCTGGTCTCCCATGCGGGTGCAGGGCCCAAGGACCTGGGCCATCCTCCACTGCCTTCCTGGGCCACAGCAGAGAGCTGGACTGGAAGAGGAACACCTGGGAAAGAATCCGGCGCCCCAACAGGGACTAGAACCTGGGGTACCGGCGCTGCAGGCGGAGGATTAGCCTAGTAAGCCATGGCGCCGGCCTGCGGGAACACTTTTTTCAAATGCTCTCTCTGTCAGAGCGGAGCTGGCCCCCTTAGCCTGGCACTTGCAGACCCCATCCTCATTACCATCTCCCTCACTGGACCCACGCTGCACCTGAGCCAGCACCGAACTGGGGGAGGAGCTACCTGCAGGTCAGGGGCTCTTCTGGAAGTGGGAAGGGCAGGGAACCCAGCCCCTGGGTGCTGGAGCTGTCACTGGTGAGCCGTGTGGCCTCAGGCAATTGCCCATCACCACCTGTGCCTCCTGCCCTCCTTTGGGAAGACATAGGATACAGGCAGGGCAAGGATGCGGGCAGCCAGCCAGGGGGGGGCGCTGTCAGAAGTCCTCCTGCAGCCCACCCGCCTGCCTGGGGAGGTCTCAGCCTGTGGTTTGTGGCTCTCACCCAGCAGGGGAAGTGTGTTGGATCAGCGGGGCTGTTCCTGTGTGCCCACACTGCCTTCCCAGCTAGCACGAGAACCACGTTTGGATTTCTGTGAGTTACAGAAGAACTTGGTCTCAACCTCCTGGAAACACGGTCAAGGTCCAGTTTCCATTGTGCTGCCTTGCCCAGCGCTGACCCCTCTTTCTCAGTGTGCTTTCTGCACCTTTCTGACCGGATCTTGTCCCAGGGCAGCTCAGGATTTTGACAGAAAGACGCACATGAAGAAGCATCTATTGATTTTCACAATGAAGACACTTTTGTGTCTTTACCCAATGGCCAGTCGATGCATAATCATTATAAAAATTCAACTAAGACACAAAGTACATAAAAGAAGTGAAACTCCCCCCAAGCCCCACCTGTCAGAGATGGTGCCCCATCAGGACTTCGGTGACCCTATGCCCTCTGGTTATTTCTAGTATCTCACACTTTTATGGTTTTTTTTTTTAAGGATTTATATTATTTATTTGAGAGAGTTACACTGAGAGACACTCTCCAAATGGCCACAACAGCCAGGGCTGGGCCAGGCCAAAACCAGGAGCCCAGAACTCCATCCTGGTCTCCCATGTGGGTAGCAGGGGCCCAAGCCCTTAGGCCATCGCCTCTGCTTTCCAAGGTGCGTTAGCAGGGAGCTGGATTGGAAGTGGGGCAGTCAGGATTCGAACCGATGCTCATGTGGCATGTTGGCAGTGCAGGTGGCGGCTTAACCTGCAGCACCATGATGCCCACCCTGATGTTTTTCAATATAGATCATTTCAGGCCCAGCGCCGTGGCTCACTTGTTTAATCCACTGCCTGCGGCGCTGGCATCCCATATGGGCACTGGGTTCTAGTCCCAGTTGCTCCTCTTCCAGTCCAGCTCTCTGCTGTGGCCCAGGAAGGCAGTGGAAGATGGCCCAAGTGCTTGGACCCCTGCACCTGCATGGGAGACCAAGAGGAAGCACCTGGCTCCTGGCTTCGGATCAGTGCAGCGCGCCGGCCGTGGCAGCCATTTGTGGGGTGAACCAATGGAAGGAAGACCTTTCTCTCTCTCTCTCTCTCTCTCTCTCTCTCTCTCTCTCAACTCTACCTGTCAAATAAGTAAAAAAAAATATTTATATAGAGATCATTTCTTTTTGAAAATCTTGATTCGGGGTGTGCAACTTTTAATTTTTGTTTGTATGTATTTGAAAGCCAGAGCGACACAGAGGGATTGTTAATCCGCCGGATCACTCCCCAAATGGCAGCAAAGAGCTGGGCTGGGCTACGCCAAAGGCAGCAGCCTGGAACCCAATCTAGGTCTCCCATGTGGGTGGCAGGGACCCAACTACTTGAACCTTCACCTGCTGCCTACCAGGGAGTGCATGAGCAGGAAGCTGGGCCAGAAAGTGGAGCCAGGATTCAAACCTAACAACTCCTATATGGGATGCGGTGTCCCAAGCTGTGCCTTAACCATGGTGTCAAATGCCCGGCCCCAGTAGAAATCATTTCTTTTCACTCATTCCTCTCTGCCTTTGCCCTCACTCTCACTGGTCATCCTACCTGTTGGTTTCCAGCCAGAGCAGGCTGATGTATGTCTGCAGCTAGAGCCTTACCTTCAGTCCCAGGTTCTGGTGATCTTCTAATTATGTCCATTAGCAAACATTTCCTTACATCTACACCAGGGAATATTTTTCAGACATTAAAAATAATGAATTAAATGCATACCAGATGACTTGGAGCCATTCCCAGGAAGCATCGTTGAGTGAGAAGAGCGACACGCAGGCAAACATGTCCCGTGTGATACTGTTTGTAAGGGGAGTGCTGACTTGTCCTGTGTCTGTGTATGCGCCCGCCTGTGCAGGGCTGGGGGAGAATGGAGGGAGGCTGGCACGCTGCAGCCTGTTACACGGGTCGTCCGAGGTGAGGGTGGAATGCTCAAGTGGAAAGGAGAGAGAGCCAAGCCAAAGGAAGTGAGCTGCAGTGCCCTGGGAAAAACATCTATATGATCACAGGATTTGTGTTTTTATATAGAATTACGTATGTTAGTGGGGGATATGCATCAAGAAATGCATTTTAAGAGAATTTTAAAGCAAAGAATTCAAATACATCCCCCTCTAAGAAATTGTGATCTGCAACAACACGGCGACATGGAAGTGAGAGATTGGAGGAAGAGCCGTCTCTCCAAACAGAACAAAGATTCACTAGGAAGCGTCTTTAAGTGGCGCGCTCTGCAGGGGCCGGGCAGGCCCTGACCCTGGGTCACTTTGAGCAACGACTTTTCCTCTCCAGCCTTCGTTCTCCCTTCTTGCAATGGGGGGACCACAATGCTCGGGTTTGTGCTGGGAGTTCCAGAGACGCAAGAATGCAGAGCCCTGGTGTTTGGAGAGAGTGCTTCAAACCAAGTTCTTACTGCTGTCGAAACTCTGGAGTTTGAACTTGTGCCATTAGGCACACACCTCAGCGCTGCATTCCTGAAGTCACCAGCTGGTGCCAGGTCTGCTGAGTTCCAAAGCTGTTCTACAGTATTCGCAATCTGAAGTGGGAGGAGCCATTGCGATCGTTCGGCCTGACCATCAGCATCTAGCTCTGCCCATGGGCGAAGCAAGGTCTAGGTGGGAGATGGGACTCACCGGAGGTTGCACAGGTTGGGGCAGCAGGGCTGGCAGCCCCGTGCCCTCTCTCTCCCTCTGCAGCCTTTTCCCACCGTGCCCTCTGACTTCCTCCTTGCAAATTCTTTGACCTCAGGGTCACTATCCACAGGCTAACATTGGGAGTGGGAGAGGGCGGGTAAGGGGACTTCTTGGCTCAAGGCCATTCTCTTGCCCTGCACCTGCTTCTGCACCTGTGGAGGCCTCTTCAGCAGGTCCAGACATACCCGCTACGTCCACATACACACACTCACCGTTTAACCCAATATCCCCGCCTGACTTTGCCTGAGATGGTCGCTCTGCGTTCAGCAGTCTCCTCTGACGGTGACGGCACCAGATGAAAGCAGGAATCAAGTCCTTTGAGGGAGCAAGGGGCTCAGCATGGCTGGAGAGGTTCAAGCTTGTAGAAGAGTGGGCGACAGGTCAGAAAGGGAATCAGGAGCGGGAGGGCCAGATCTGTAGGGTCTTGCTGTAAAGTCTCTGGTTTTTACTTAACCTGGGAAGCCATTGGAGAGTGGTGAGCATAGGAGTGACACATCTGGTCTGCCCTTGTCTGCTATGGAGAGAACTGGCCCCAGGTAGCCAAGAGCAGGGAGAGCTGTTAGGAGGCTCTTGATGTCCAGGTGGAAGCTGATGGCTTGGGGCAACGCAGCAGCAGGCAGATAGAGAGGTACTGGATAATTTCAAGGTGGGCAGACCCTGTGTATGTTTTAAAGGTGGGGTCAACAGGATGCCCTACAGATTGGGTAGGGAGGGGGAGGGTGGACGAATCCAGGAGCAGCTAGGAGGCTGGAGGCTGACTCCGCTTGGGTTTTAACATCCTCATATGTTAACCCGATACCCTGATGCCTGGGGGAGGCATCCTTTATGGATGACTGGGGAGGGGGTGCCCTCTGGGGAAGTGTGTGAACTTGGCTGATGCCCCCTGACTCATGTCCCCTTCCTTTCTCCCACCTCTCCGCTAGGTACTTCTTTAACTGCGACAGCCTCATCCCCCTCAAGAGGAAGAGGAAGTACTTCCGGGTGTTTGAGGTTACCAAGACTACAGAGAGCTTTGCCAGCAAGGTCCAGAGCCTGGTGCCGGTCAAGTACGAGGTCATCGTGACAACGGGCTACGAGCCAGGGGCGGGCACTGACGCCAACGTCTTTGTGACCATTTTTGGAGCCAACGGGGACACGGGCAAGCGGGAGCTGAAGCAGAAAATGCGCAACCTCTTTGAGCGGGGCAGCACCGACCGCTTCTTCCTGGAGACGCTGGAGCTCGGGGAGCTGCGCAAGGTGCGTCTGGAACACGACGGCAGCGGCTACTACTCGGGCTGGCTGGTGGACAAGGTGGAAGTCACCAACACCAGCACCGGCGTGGCCACCATCTTCAGCTGCGGCAGGTGGCTGGACAAGAACCGGGGGGACGGGCTCACCTGGAGAGACCTCTTCCCCTCTGTCTGAGGGGCTGGCCCCACTAAACCACCCCCTGGCTGTGACCTTCCGCAGCCTTTTGGGAGGCCTCCAGGAGCAGGGGCCACTGGGAACTTCATGGTCCCTCAAAGGCCACTGTTCGTGGCTGGCTTTTTGTGGGGTTCTGCTCCCCACCCTCCTAGTCTTAGAGATCTCCCAGGAATCATAATCAGCTGTACAAAATCGTTTTCCAGGGCCGGCGCTGTGGTGCAGCAGGTTAAAGCCCTGGCCTGCAGAGCCGGCATCCCATATGGGCACCGGGTTCTAGTCCCAGCCGCTCCACTTCTGATCCAGCTCTCTGCTATGGCCTGGGAAAGCAGCAGAAGATGGCCCAAGTGCTTGGGCCTCTGCACCCATGTGAGAGACATGGAAGAAGCTCCTGGTTCCTGGCTTCAGATCGGTGCAGCTGCAGCTGTTGCAGCCAACTGGGGGGGGGGGGGTGAACCAACGGAAGGAAGACCTCTCTCTCTCTCTCTCTGCCTCTCTCTGTAACTCTTTCAAATAAATAAAATAAAAACAATTTTAAAATTGCTTTCCTACCATAGCAGTAGTGGGCAGGCTGGGACTTGCTGCAGAGTGTGGATGAAAAATTGGGGCATCGCCCAGGGGATAAGAGTGGGGAAGGACAGGCCATCGAGATGGTGTGTTCCAAGCACCAACCAATTAGCACCTCCCAGAAAAAAAGCTGGACTATTTATTACCAGCCACACCCCACAAAGAACTCAGCATCTGCTTGCAAGATATGTATGCTTTTTTCCCAATTTCAATGAATCCAGTGGCAAATGAAGAAAAACTTCAGGAGGAAGCATCTTCGCTGTGAAGAATACATGATTCTTTGCAGAGAAGACAACTGGTGTGGCCCTGCAGGTTAGCCCAGCCTGTGGTAACCCGGCCGCAGCCCAGTGCCTGTGGCCCCAAGGCTGGGAGGGCAGGGGGAGACGCTGGGGTTAGTGAGTATGGCCTGTGCTTCTGTGTGGGCAATGCTGGGACAAAGAACTGACAGGGGATCAGTAACAAAATGAAGACGTGGCCTCTGCCCTCAAGGGGTACCTGACCTTGATGGAGAGGTAGCAAGAGAGTGGCATGCTTGTGCACGCACACAGATACACACACACACATGCACGCACATACATACTCAGTGCACACATAGATGCACAAGCACGCGCTCCCTGATCAACCAGCACAAAGAAGCCAGGCAACCCCCTTACTTGTGATTTTCCCAGAGAGAGCAGGACAGCAGGAAGGTGAGCGAGACCGGAAGTCTTCCTCCAGGAGGGCGCCCCTGGGTCACCTGTCCCCTCTACCTGGACAGGTCTGCATTCTCAGTGAGGCTTCAGGACTCAGAGCCCTCTTGAGAGAGGCCTGTGTCCCAGCTCTGCCTCTTGGTGGGCATGAGACTTTGGGCACGCTATTTCGTCTCTCTGGGCCTCAGTGTCCACATGGGCAAGACAGGGAGACCAGTGGTTATTGTGAGGTCTCCTCTGTGCCCTGCAGGAAATCCAAAGCCCAGCACACACTGGGAGTCATGAAGCCCACACTCTGCTGTCATTGAGATGTCAATAACTGTTCCTTCCCAGTCCCAACAGCAGACAGGGGATCCCTGCAGCACAGGGCTCAACAGAGGGGTCACAACAGCCACCTGGAAATCGAGCCTGGTCCCTTCTCCAGCTCCGCGGTGTCACCGACGGGCCCTGCAGACAGGGAGTGTGTATGGGTGTGTACGTGTGTGAGGGTGTGCACATGCAAGAGGATGACAGGGGTGGGATGAGTAAGCACTTGCTCTGTGTGTATGTGGCGTGTGTGCGTGTGCACCTGTGAGTGAAAGCCACCCTCGTGCTGTCTGCTCAGAACACTCCAGAGGAAGCTCTCCTTGGTGCCTCAACTATTGCCCAAGAGACGGTCCCCCACCCCCAAGCAGATCCCGGTCAGTTCTCCAGAGGCCCAATGCCTCAGCTTCTAGCTGCCCAGCTCCTTGTAATGGAATTCCCAAGTCAGTGAGCCCAGATCCCAGACTGTCCCTGGCACACAGGCACTCTGCACTGGTGCCCTGGGCCCGCCTCTGGGATGGACAGAAGGGCAGCTTGCTCGGGGGACCCCATTTGTCCCCTTTGCAGCTCTATATATTATGGCGCCAGAAAGGAACCCCCTCAGGAGTCCTCGACCAGCCCAGAGCCATTCACTAGAGGTCACTTCATTCATTCACTCATTCAGTGAATATTTATTAATCATCTGTTGCATATTGTACAATGATGGGAGGATGAGGATACCACGGGAAGCAAAAAATTCCTGGCCTCGTTGAACTTACAATCTTATTTATTTGAAAAAGTTACAGGGTAGGGGATGGGCTTCCATCTACTGGTTCACTCCCCAGAAGGCTGCAACAGCCAGGGCTGAGCCAGGCTGAAGCCAGGAGCCAGGAGTTTCATCCAGGTCTCCCATGTGAGTGCAGGGGCCCAAGCTCTTGGGTTATCATTTGCTGCTCTCCTAGGCACACGATCAGGGAGCTGGATCATAAGTGGAGCAGCTGGGACATGAACCGGCGCCCGTATGGGATGCCGGCCTCACAGCAGTGACACCAGCCCCAGAGTTACATTCTAACTGGGCTAAACAGAGGCAAACAAATTAGCAAGCTTCCTAATACGTCAGAGGGAAATGCAATGAAGAAAAACACACTAGGGAAGAGAGACTGGGGGTGGCTGCTCCTTTTCATCGGGTGGAGAACTAACATTGCAGTCAGTCTGTCCCTAAAGGCGAGCAGCTAAGGCCATGTGGACACTGCAGGCCAAGGGGACAGCGAGGGGGCAGGTGAAATGCTGGCCAAACAGCACAGAGGTCGACGAGGCAGAAGTAGCACCGGGCAGGAGTCAGCAGGGATAAGGTCAGAGTGGCGAGAGGTCCCACGGGACCTCCTGCATGCTGGGAGGCTTGTGGCTGCACCCGGAGAAGACGGCGCACCGCTGGAGCCTGCGAGTCATCTGACACACGTTGTAACCAGGTCTCTGGGGCTACTACCTGGAGACCAGAATGCAGGGTGCAGCTGGGAAGCCTGCTGTGAGGCCGTTGCCGTAGTCCAAGCGGCTCGCACAGGGTGGCGACAGTGAAAGTGGCTCCAAGTTGTGAGGTTTTGAAGGCAGAACACTGGGTTTGCTGGCGAGTTGGTTGTGAGACGTGGGACCGAGGGAGCAGTGGATTTAGGCAAAAGCGTGCACCTGGACGCATGGGGCTGGGAGAAGCAGGGCTTCTGGTGTGCTGGCTGCTGTGTTTAGGGGAGGGCAGAGCAGCAGCTAGGGGGCGCTGTCTCTTAGACGGCTAACGTGAAGAGGAGAGGTGTGGAAGGGGATTCTTCCACTTCCACTTCCTCTGAGCACCCAGGAGTGATGCCCAGGGCCCTGGACTATGACTCAGAGGCCTGGGCCCAAGGGGAGCAGGAAGAGGCATGGTTCTGGAGTCTGGGTTCAAATTTCAGCCTCACTTGCTAGCTGTGTGGCCTTGGGCAAGTCATGGAGCTCCTGAGGGGGAGGTGATCCCCACACCCCAGGACTGTACAGAGGATAGAGGGGCCAGCTGGGGTAACCGGCTTAGCACGGCGTCTGCAGCCCAAAAATGCCTCAGAAGTGCTGACTGCCTAGGGGCCGGCGCTGTGGCGCAGCGGGGAAAGCCACTGCCTTCAGTGCTGGCATCGCATATGGGCACCGGGTCAAGTCCTGCTGCTCCTCTTCCAATCCAGCTCTCTGCTGTTTCCTGGGAAAGCAGTAGAAGATGGCCCAAGTGCTTGGGCCCCTGTACCCACTTGGGAGACCTGGAAGAAACTCCTGGCTCCTGGCTTCAGATTGGCACAGCTCCAGCCATTGCGGCCAATAGTGGAGTGAACCAGTGCATGGAAGACCTCTCTCTCTCTCTCTCTCTCTCTCTCTGCCTCTCCTTCTCTCTGTGTGTAACTCTGACTTTCAAGTAAATAAATAAGTCTTAAAAAAAAAGTGCTGACTGCCTTTAGGCTGGTTCCAGCCCTGACCTCCTGGGGAGGTGACTCAGAGTGTCCCTTCCCTTCTCGCCCTGTCCCGCTGTGACCCCAGCAAGAACGAGAATCTGAAGCGGAGCTTCTCTCCTTCTGGGGTCTTTGGGACCCTCCCCGGTGCGCTGGAGGGTGGCTGTCTCGCTGTTGCCAAGATAGCTTCAGGCCCAGCAAGAATCAGGTGTAACCGGGCTGGCCCTGGGCTGTGTTATAAAGGCGGGCATCAACTCCCATATCCTCCTGGTTTCCTCTCCCCAACTCCACACCTTGACCTTGTCTTCCAGGCTGCCCTCTGCCCTCCCAAAGCACCAGGCTGTTCTCGGAGGCTCCCTAGCTGGTCACTGATGAGGCTGAACCTGTGGCTCCTCCCACTGCCCAAAGCACAAGCTTCAGATTTGCCCCACCTCATGGCAATGTCCTAATTACAGCCCCACGCACCTGCTGTGAGCCCGGCAAAGGGCCACCTCGGCTCACCAGCGGCTGCTGGGTTTTTTTGTTTGTTTTGTTTTGTTTTGTTTTGTTTTGTTTTTGACAGGCAGAGTGGACAGTGAGAGAGACAGAGAGAAAGGTCTTCCTTTACCGTTGGTTCACCCTCCAATGGCCACTGCGGCTGGCGCACCAAGCTGATCTGAAGCCGGAAGCCAGGTGCTTCTGGTCTCCCATGTGGGTGCAGGGCCCAAGCACTTGGGCCATCCTCCACTGCACTCCTGGGGCATAGCAGAGAGCTGGACTGGAAGAGGGGCAACCAGGACAGAATCCGGTGCCCCGACTGGGACTAGTACCTGGTGTGCCGGCGCCGCAAGGCAGAGGATTAGCCTATTGAGCTGTGGCGCCGGCGGCTACTGGGTTTTGATCAGTAACCAGGCTGCGGGCGTCAGTGAAGGCGGGCTTGCGCCCTTCCACTGGTCCTGCTTATTCATTCCCAGAGAGCAGAGTGCTTTGTCCTCCTGCCCAAACCTCCTGCAGAACTGCCCCTCCCTCATTGCACTCTCAGTCCACACCACTGGGCACTGTGGGAAATGACTGGCAGGCCTTGGGCTCTCACCCCCTCCTGTGGGCCGGTGCCTCCCTCCCCGACAAGAAATGTCCTTGCAGGAGTGGGGTCAAGCAGAGCAGGCCTGGGGGGGGTCCAGGGTGCAGAATGCGGATGGGCACGTCGTCTTCCAGGCATGCAGCCCCTCCCTCCCCAGGCCCCCCGCCCTGCCCCGCCCCGAGCTGTGCTGTGGTAGTGTGGGTGGGAGAATGGGCCGAGGGTCTAAGTGCTCCTCAGACCCTCACCCACTGCCCTGTTGTCAGCACCTTCGTTATCCTTTTGAGTTCCTGGTGCCTCTGATGCTTAGCATGCTTCCCCCATGTTGGCTCCCGGACCAAGACAGTGACTTCCGTCTCCTTCATCAGCCTTCGTCCTGCAGCACTGTGC